GTATTTAAGTAATTGTAAAATTTGAGTTAGTTCATATTAAAGTACATAAAAAAATTGAATACGGGAAATGCGGGAAATTTAAATTTAAAAGAAATGAATTGAATCTGAACTTACCACTGTATTTAAGTAATTATATAATGTGAGTTCGTTCATAGTAAAACACAAAAATAAGGGAAATTTAATTCCAATTTAATAACGATTCACAAGTATAGTAGAAATCTGTAATTGTTTTCCAAAAAAAGCGCGTAAATCAAATTTTAAAAAAACTGTATTTAAGTAATTGTAAAATTTGAGTTAGTTCATATTAAAGTACATAAAAATTGAATACGGGAAATGCGGGAAATTTAAAAGAAATGAATTGAATCTGAACTTACCACTGTATTTAAGTAATTGTATAACGTGAGTCCGTCGTCCCAGGGTCTCTCGAGATCGCAGGACAAATTGACCGGTCTGATGGAGAGTCCCGATTCCATTGCGGCCAATCCTTTTGCGAACACGTAAACCGAATCAAACATTAAAGCCGGCTCTGCCTGCAACAACGTTGTCCTGATTAAAACGGATCCGCGCCACTAAAAGCTTAAGAGGACAGCAATGTGGGGGGAGAAGGAACAATAGGAAAGAAAGCTGTAAAGTGGTACGAATGTGCGATTGGGGGGAAAGAGACTTTAAGCTAGGAAATACATATAGAACGATCGCCAATAGCTTAGAACAAACACACACAATTGTTGCGGTGGAGAAATGGAAGTGGTGCTGACCTAGTTTCATGCATAAGAGATTAGTTTTCCCAGGAACAATCGTCGGTTTTCAACATGATTTCCCATATTGCAAAGACGAGGTGTTAAAGGTTTCTAACCGATTGATTTGGAAACTACCGGAAATCCTTTCATCTCTCCAAATATTTGACTTAACTTTCTTGTTAGAAATAAACTTTTCAGTATATTTCAAAACTATTACTTTACATAATTGTAAACGATGAAATTAATGATATTCTTGCTTGAACAATGGTTAAAATAATTGTAAAGTTTTGCTTGAAATTTCTATACATTTATAAGTTGAAAAATAATTGCAAATAGTTAATATTATAACAGTTTTTTTTATATATACAAAATCAATTTTTTCTATAAAAAAAAACAAAGTTTCTAAAGAGCTTCAATAGAAAATTTTAAATTAAAAAAAAGAATCAAACTACAAGGAATATTGTGAAGGTACATGTAGTTTTTGTTGTTGTTGTTGTTGTATTCATACCTGTATAACTCCGCTCTTGTTAAGGATTTGGTGTCCGATCGGCTGAAATTTTTCCATGACGTCTAAAGCTTCCTTCACTTTGGGACTCTCTATGTCGACGACGCGAAAGGCCGTAATGTTCACCGAGTTGTATTTGAAGTCCTCCAGATCAAACGTTTCCAAATCCTGTTGAAAAACGTAACAGAAGTTTCAAAAAAAGCGCGCACACACACACAAAATATATAGTGTATAAAATGAAAAGCTGAGATTTAGTTCATCATACAAGTATACATCTTAATTTAATTTTGTATAATTTAGTAATTTTTTTACATCTGCTTATTGTTTAATCAATATATTTGGTAAATAATTAAAGAAATGTCGAGTTTAAACATACTTTTAGTTACTTGTCAAGTAACTTCTGAAATATCGTGTATTATTATCTAAGTTATAGAGAAAATTGAATATATTTTTACTTGAGAAAACTTAATATCATAATTTATAATACTTGCAAACGTTTGAATGTTAAAATTGAAAAAAATAACTTCCATTTAGTATCTGATTACTATTAATTATTTAGGCAACATTATTATGAAATTACTTAACTTCTTTTCTTTTGGTTTTTGTCTTATTGTATTTTCTTCCTGTTTTTACTACTAAATTTGTAATTTAATAGAAGTACGTATAAATCGTTGTAGATTTGTTCTTGTATTAAAAGGCATAAACCGTTTGAGTCGTTGGAAATCTATAGCAGAGTTTAGTTCTTCCCCTAGTGCAAATACAAAAGCGAATATCCGCATCCCACCGAAAACATAAACCCACCCACTTCTCCTCGAACGATTTATCGCCGGTACTTACAAACGTTGTGAACATGTAGTGGTATCTGTAGTCGTTCATCTGCAACTGTAGGATCTGCAATCAAAAACAAGGACAACTTGATTAATTCCATCCACAAACGTAGAATGAGTTTATACGACAACAGTCGAAACAGATTTTTACATTTGAATCTCAATTTTATTGTCTGCAAATTTTTCAGTTCTTCACATTTGAATAATTCAGTAAATAATTTTGTCATCCCTTTGGCCCAAATTCGTGCCAATGTTTATTGAATTTTGTAAATGATTAATTTTTATTTTCCAGTTTCAGAACTTGCTCAGTTCAACATATTTGAGTCTCATATTTTTTTTTTTGATCTGCATAAATTGCGATATTGAATAATCGTTGGGTTTCGAGTATGCGGAGTTTCGTCCTTCGCTTATTTCTCTCTGTCTCTCTTCTACATCGCATTATGCATACTTTAATACAAATGAGGGGCGTCGCGACGCCACACCCGATACCACTTTAATAATAGAACCTACGGAAGAAACGAATTTGCATTCGGTAATGCAAAAAATTCCGTTTGCATCTTTTCCATTCAATTCGATTTCCCATTCCCAACATCCGCACATACTTCCAGCAATCTCATTCACTAAATTAATAATTCCAATAGAACCTTTATTAAACTCTAAATGATTTCTTGCGTATCTTTTTCAAATCATACTTAGTACAATACCCTGTGGTAATCTTGCTATTTTTTACAATATATTGCAGAATTCATGTAAATTATTTACAAACAGTAACTTTTTCAATTATGATGAAAAAAATAGATAATTAAAATTTAGAATTAAAAGTAATTAATTTTTATGTATGAAATTCCACTTTCCACGTCAATTTCGACTTACATCAGAATTTACAAATTCATTCTGTATGTAATACATTGAGTATATATTTGTATTAGACCTAGTAGAACAACCTGTGGTACTTTTGCAAATTATTAACGTATTTTTTTTATAAATTTTACAATTTATATGAACAAAATGTGCAATTCAAATCAAATCTAACGGTTAGTTTCTACGGAACTTTTCGAGATTACGCTTTATCTGAGGATTTACGTTTAGCACTAAACTATAACCGTTCGATAAGCCCATCGATCGGATTGCCATGCATGCAGTGCTCCCTTGACATCCGTTCTACGTACTGAAAGTAATGGATTTGCTCTTACAGGATTCACATCGAATGCGGGGACTTTTGGAGATACCCGACGAATAGTAAAAGTCCTCAAAGCACAAATGGACCGCATGCATAAAGTCCACTTTACAACCTCGCAGTTATATTTATTTATTATTTATGCGCTTTTCAAACTTTCAACAAAAAAAAACATCTTTTCAAAAACATTTTTTTTTAGTAAAATTTTAAATTTTTGTTAACTATTTATTGCTCTACTCTTTTCAACAACCTTATGTAATATTTCTTATAAAATGATTGAAAGTTCTAACAAAAAATTTAGAAATTATGAAAGTTCACACTTGTATTAGACAAAAATACTTGAATTTGAATGAAATTAATAAAAAATTAACATTGTATAAATATTTAACATTGTTTATTACAATACTTTGATTTAGACGGTGCAAACTTGTTGAAATAAGAAAAAAAATTGGTTTAAAGTTGTACTAATTATTATTTTTTGTTTTGTTTTAAAAACGTAATATAAGTGTAATATTTTATAAACAAAAAATGTAATTGCAAATTTTAACTGAAATGTTAAATAAAATTCCTTGATTACTGAAATAATAGAGGTCACCACAATCGACTCGACCACCAATTTGTACATAATTTAAGCGCAGAGAGAGAGAAAATAAAAGAACAGTTCAAACACACGGACTTTTGTTTACATGAAACGCTGTGTGGATTTTGAGGTCGAATAATTGCATTCGACATTTTAATAAACAAAGCGAACCGCAAAAAATAAACGAGAGAATGACGGACACAGGGAGACAGAGAAAGAACGACGACAACACACAAAGAGCGACAATTGCGTTTCTAATTAATTTGCGGGCAGGTTTCTGCGGCGAGCAAAACATTTTACACGTGTATTTCCGTTTTCCCTTTAGCGGCGAACGCAAACAATTGATTGCATAACGACGCAGACGGCGAATGTCAACAGGAATACTCTCTTTCTCGCCATATGGTTTTTAGTTTTGTTTTGTTTTGTTGTTTCTTATTATTGTTTTCTCCTTTCGGAATAATGGAAACATGGAAATAATAGTAAAACAAAAATGTGAAAGAAGAAACTCATGGAAATGGACGTAAAAACGCGAGAATGAAGTGCTTTTTGTTTTGTTTCCTGTTTGCTAGATGTTTTTTTTTTGTTTGTTGATATTTGAATTCCGCGTCTTGTTGCATGGGAACGGAAAAGAATAGCAATTACGTAATGCAAAGCGGCAGAGAGCTTTTGTTTTTGCTGCTTGAGAACATGAGTATCTGATGTTGTTTCAGGAATTTCGTGAAAACTGCAGTTGCTACTAACTAATTAGTCATTAAAGTGTAATTATCCTTATTAAGATATTAATATTATTTTAATAAATATATTTTCCATTTTGTTCGATAAAGAAGTTTATCTGACAACTTCTATTTGTGAAAACCGAAATTTCTTTCTAGCCAACCCAATATTATTCTTCTCGATTATATATGTTTATTCTTCTAAAATATTTATTATCTAAACTAAATAATATAAGTCAAACAAACAAAAAGACAGTAAAATGACAGACTAAAATTTTGTCAAATAAGAAGAAACAATAAATCCACTAGTTCTTGAGGTGTGTATCACTCCATGGCTTATTGACAACTAATTCACTATATAACTACATCATAAATGTCAAAGCACTGTGACATTTGACGCCATCTACAAAAATGGCAGCCAATTCAAAATATGACATTACTTTTGCGCCACCTTGTATAAATAATTACATTACTCTTTGTGACTATTTACGTATATTATTTGAAAATATCCATTTTATAAACAAAATAATTCAAGACAGGAAATGAAAGTTTTCAATGTGAATCTCATATGAAGTGACTAGATGAAACTTTAACAAAAAAAAAAGAAAAGCACATTTCCATCTCGAAATAAATAGAAGCTGTGCAAAAGGTTGATGCAATTTCATTTATTTTTTTATGATGTGTTTGTGTGTCTATATGTTTTGTCGACAGACGGTAGGAAACGGCAGTAATGTTAATTCGCAGAATATGTTATTCTATTTCCCGTATTAGGATTCAGCGCGAAAAGGGCATAAATCTGCTTTATGTTTCTGACCTTTCCGTCCTCGTCGAGAACCGTGCAAATCACATTGTTTCCCTATTTTATTTATATTCGCACCGAACCTTTTCAGCATATTGTTATATCCCATCGTCATTTCTCATATTCTTGTTATACACTTTCTTGCAATACTTCTACAATTATTTTGTTATTGTGATATTAGAAGTAAAGAATTTAGAATGATTTTTTAACTTTGTCCATTATAAGAAAAACTTTTAATTTTATTTTGAAGAAGATAAAAATGATATTTTTAGGTTTTCAGAGATTTTATCAATTAAATAAAACATAAATTATAATTTCTCATAGTTATATAACAAAACTTTTATTCTTTTCATTAGATTTTTTTCTTGTTTTCTTCTCGTTTTGCAAACCAATATTATTGTGATTCGCAGTGGATGAGTATGTAGTTTGTTAGACGTTCTGCGGGGATTTGCACCACCTCGCTTCGGAAATGAAAATATCGCCGCAGTGGATGCTCGTTGACACAAGTAAAGCTCCTTAGGGTGACGTCTGCCTTGCTCCTTTTCCAGGATCAAAGAACGCGCACACATCCTTCAGCTTACCACAATTTGCTTTTGCAACGGAATTTCCAAGTAGATTCAATAATACCGATGTATTGCATACTTGAAATATTTTATAGTTTTTACAAATGTATTAACGAAAATCAACTGATTGTTGCATATCAATATCAAAATAATAATAATGCATTAAATCTTATAGAGAAAATTGTTTTTGTTTCGGTTTGGTAACTTATTCTGTATTTATGCGCGTTGATAAATAAACAAGAATCGTTAATGGACGAACACGCAAACATCGGTTCGCTATTGGTGCACTATAAACAAAATTTTCAATTAACTTCATTCACTCTGCAGTATTAAATTGGATAGATACTTGCAGCCGGAATCAGTTCAGTCTATATGTATACACGCTTTGTTATAAACTGTTTGTTTACAATTGAAAAAGATGTTAACATCTTTTCTAATTAGAATATTTTTACGAAATGTAATTGTTAACAAATGTACTTACAGCTCTGAAGAATTGCTGTATGTTTCTCGGATTGGTGTCCACGATTAACTTGTAGATTTCCTTCTGACGAACTTCTCTCAAAACTTGTCTGTAAGTTGTTGGTCCCGCCTGTCTTATGTACATTTCCGTCCTCGCCGAAGCCGGAGATTTCACCAATTCCTGCAGCTTGAACAGTCCTACCAAAAATACGATATTTAATGCACCGAACTTCACACATAAAACACGTTGGAACTTTCGTAAAAAAAAGTTACGTAAACTAAAGCGCTTTAGAACCATTGGATCGATAGGATGCATGCACCGAAAACCCACATCCAAAAACTATTTAAATTAATTAGTATCACTGCCACATCTACGATATAAAATTTAGTCTAATTTCATTCATAATATATTATTTCCATGACTAATACATATTTCAATTGTTTAATTTATAGTCATTCTTGGATCAATTTGATGCTAAACTTATATAATGTTTGTAAACTAAATGGTTTCCATGATTACCATACCTTTATTTCATTTATATTTCAATCGTTACAAAAGTTACATATATATTGTTTCTATGGTAATCATAAAGTTTTTTTTTTAAATAGATGATTTAAAAACGTAGATGTAGCATTGACAAAACAAATTAAGTAATTGAAAATAAAATAATTTGAAAAAATAAAACGTAACAAATCTACTTTAAAATTAATAACGAAAATCTGAAGAACAGAGCAGAATTCTACCTATCTTATTTACATGTTTCTATTGTGCGATATTCGCGTAAAAGAAGTGGTCTATGGTTTGTATCGCATTGATAAGCAAGTAATTCCGGTGTCAATTTGTTTCTTTTTGTGTTCTTGCAGGGAAATAGAAGCGTAATTCCGATATGGAAAAACTGAGAGGAGTGAGAGTTTGGAAATGCATTCTGCAATTTCCTTTTCTCGCTCCCCCATTTCCTTTCCTCTGCACAAATACACACACTTATATATATACATACATAAATATATACAGAGAAAGGACCTACACGCGTTCCTTTCAAGGAAATCTGGAAAATCTGGAAAACTTCGATTGCACGGAACAGAAATATTTACTTTCAATAACGTTTCGACGAGAGTATACCACTTGCTGCCGAGAGCCAAAACACTCATCCCCCTTATGCCTCCCAGCCACCTCATTTCGACGCTGGAGAAACTTGTCGCTCGAACAAGTGCCACGTGAAACAAGAAAGTTTTCTTTTCTCCGGCAACAACAAGTAACACTTACCGGAAAGGTACGAAATGTTTCATTATTTCATTTGATGATCGATAAAGTTAAGTGATTTGTGACCATCATTTGTGTCGAAACTTTTCTATCCTTGCGATTTTTATGTTCCAACTTTAAATTAATTATATTATAATTTTAATTAACGTTAGTTTTTTATTGAACAAAATCAATATATAAAAAGAGAATAAGTAAAATGCAATTATCTTGCAAAAAAATTAGGAAATGTCGCCTCGAATTTTTGCAACTTTACGTAATCTCCGATATTGCGTTGGGGGACGTCGGAGACAGTAACGGAAGAAATTAAATGGCAAATCGGAGAAGTTGATTTTCTTTATTTTTTGTTGTTGTTCGTCTTCGTCGCAAGCTTAAGCGATTGGGGGGGAAACAGACGTATTATCTCGAACCCGGGGAGGAGTGTTTAGGCAACAGTAGAATCATTGTATCGAAAGCACTTAAAAAAGGGACTGAGGCAATGACAAATTGCATCGCGGTTTTTCCATCCGTCCTTTCCACCGTTTCGCGACGTTCTCCAATCTAATTTTGCCGCAGTCTTTTGCTTCGATTGCGCACAAAAAACCAGGTTCAATATAAGACAAATTTCGAGGAAGTGAAGATTCGATTTCATCCAAAAACAGTTTACAAACTAATCATCATCTTTTCATGCAGCGATGATTTTATTATTTAAAGAAATAATAAAGTAAATAAAATCAAAAGCCTGTCTACTTAAATAAACTAAAAAATAATAGGAAATATATGTGTAAATAAAGCTTCGTAATTTACTTATGTAACAGATTAGTAAAGATCGGTAGGTGAGCTAACCTTTTCCCCCTACCAGCGGGACTAAATGAAAAATTAATCAGTTATTTATTTATTCATTTCCGTTACGATTTTCCTGGTAAATAAGAATTGGGATCTTCGATTAAATACGTACTAATTGAGTGCGCGTCCCTTTTTTTTTCGAAAGAGGATCGATGTAAATATTTCATTTATATTCTGTTGGAAACGCGAGCGAAAGAAATTGGAAATTAAAGAGAGAAGAAGCGAAAGAAATGTTATTAATTGCGAAAATAAATTGGAGTGATGAATATTTGATCGGAATCCGCGGATCCCATGAATATATCGGTTTAATCGAAAAAAAAAAATATCTTTAATTTATTACCGATTGCGAAAAAAATATATCTAGAAAGATTTCCTTATATGTTTTATTCATTTTCAATTATGAAACGTGTCGGATTTGAATTTTCTTTTTTTTTTGTGCGAATCGATCGAAATTTGTAATTGTGTTGGATTCGTTGGTCTTACCGTAGTCTTCCTCGTAAATTATCGCGACTTTGGTCCAATTCAGGAACGTCATCAAATCTTTGAACGCCCTATTCATGTACTCCTGGCTCGGATGCAGGTTAATGGAAAACTGCTTTGAGACAGGTTCGAAGTCGACGCGAGCCTCCACGTGGGGGACGTCCAGCGCTTCGCAAATGCTCTGAATGTGCGCCCCGAGGATGGGATCCGACGGACCGAAGATTGCTTGCACACCGAATTCCATCTGTCGACATGCTGCAAATGAAAGAAAACACTCTAATATATTTTCTTACACAAGAAGGTTTTTCTTGCACAAATTTATGTAAATTACAATTACAATTACAGTAAAGTAAATATTATAAATTTCCAAAAATAAGAAAATTATAAATCTATTGTTATGCTGAAATCAGAGTTGAATCTTATAAAATTTCACATGAGTTTATTTAAATTTTATTCAATTATTCTTTATTCTTATTGTAAACTATGGTTATAAGATTTATGGTTATAAGAGATGGTGCATTCACTCCATATGCATTTTAATATTCCTTTGCATATTGAATCTGTAGTAAGTTACTACGCCTCCCTCAAAAGTATGTAATCATTTGGCGCCTCCCCTTTCATAAAAGAAACACGAATTACAGCCAAACGGCTAAAACTACAGTAATATATCGATACTTGCTAGATTCCCCAAACATTCAGCTTTCATATGCATCTTTTGAATTCATACTATGTATTTTAGTTTTCGAGTAAATCTATGAAATATAAAAACACTGCTTTTTCGAGCATTTTTAAACTTTGAACACGAATTACAGCCAAACGGCTAAAGCCACATTAATATATCGATACATGCTAGATTCCCCAAACA